CAGTCGGTTAAGTGTGTGACTTCATCTCAGTTCATGATCTCTCAGTCTGTGGGTTCGAGTCCCACGTTGGGCTCTGTGCTGACAGCTCAGAGTTTGGAGCCTGCTTTGGTTTCTGTGCCTCCCTCTCTTCATGCCCCTGCCCCACTTAAGCTCTGTTTCTCTCTGTTTCTCTCTCAAAAATAAATAAATTAAAAAAAATTTTTTCTTAAGTGGGTCAATCTCTAAAACTAATCACTTTTATTAAACTGCTTTGTAAGGGGTTGTTTTTTAAAAAATACCATATGGTAGTTTTTGTTTCTGATTACTGAGCTTTGTAACTTTAGAATGTGACTAAGTGCAAATAGCAGAGTAAAATTAGAAATATTTATAAGAACCAAAATGTTTCTTAAATATTTAAATGTTGATATAAATGATGTGAGAGCAAATTTCACCTCTTTTCTCTCCCCTTTCACTGTCAAATGTACATCTTTTCTGTTATAGGTACACATTGAATGTGTTGTCAGATCTTGGAGAAGGTGAAAAAGTAAATGATGAAATTATTATTAAATGGGTCAATCAGACGCTTAAAAGTGCAAAAAAACATACTTCTATTTCCAGCTTCAAGGTAATCAAAAGCTATTTTAAAATTTTGTTTTTGTAAGAAATTAAGTGTAGGAAGGAATTTTTATTAGAAATTACATTGGTTTAGATTCAGAATTACATTAACATTATATCTCAGAAACACAATTTATGAACTTAGGCCTGCTAGTTATTTGGCATGTGTAAAGCAAAAGTATAGTTTGAACTCTTATGTTTTTGACTGGTTGTCGTATTGAGTATAAATGCAGATTAATATTATCAACTCTGGTCATCTAATCTTAAAAAAAATAGAATAGAGCCAAAAAACCCAATTGTCAAATGAAAAAGAAAGATTAAAAAACCATTGTTTATATAGGACCTATAATGTTTTGTGCTCCCTAGCAGCAGTCTCAGAATTGTATTGACATCATTTCCAAGGCATAACAGAGCCAGCCAAACCGATTCAAGTGGGAATTGAGAAAACTGGTAGGAAAAAAAATATCTTGTTATCTGGCTTCATAATGGCACTTAACACTCACTTTTGAGCATTTGTGGATGATTCATAAATCACTTAAAACGTAATCTGTACATACACACCCACTAATTTTCATGCATTTCCATTGTGTTTCGCTTTTGCATGCAAGGTGATGTTATCTACAACTAAGCATGTCTGCTTGTACACATTCATTCAGTGAGCCTTGTGTTTGTGCTTTTATTATGTGAAAAATATGTGAAAAATCAGCAAATTTTTTTTTAGTGATTAAAGTGCAAACAGATGAACCCCTAAGCTCTCCTAAGAGTTATCTATCCATCTTTAGTTTTTTCTTTGGCTTTGTTCTATATGCTTAACAACATTTTAGAGCAGGAAAAATTTCAGAAATTGATAAATTCAATTTTTTACTAAATAGTGAGCCCCAAAGGGATTTTAACATGACAACTAGAATAAGTCAGAGATGTTACCTGAGTCCTAGTTCAAGTGTGTTTCTCTTTTTGCCATCTTGGAAGGAACTAATGACTTTGAGTTTTTGTTGTTGCTTGTTAAAAAAAAAAAAAAAAAAAAAACACAAGAATTTTCAGTCCATGATTTGTTTTTGTATATTTTAGGCATAAAATACAACTTAAAAATGTAAAACAGGAAAGGGGACGTATAAAATTCTCTAATTGATAGTTATCAAAGTTGTTGTAATGAAATTTTACACATTTGTACATTAGTTGATGAAAAATAATAAGCATGTATATAATTAAGTCAAATACAATAATAAAATATTTAGAAACAAATACTTATTAAGCTTTTACTATTAAGTAACATTTATAGGTAAAGAAAAAGATACAGAATATAAGAAATTAATTTGTCCCTCATAGTGTTCACCATTTATTTGAAGAAAAAAATTTTCATAATTGGCATTTTCATAACAAGCTAGAAGAAGGTCCATCTTGAATAAAGGCAAGTCAAAGGTTAGGAGAAATAGTTTGGCTGGAGAGGATGGTTCCTAAGGGAGTAGTGCTGGATATAGTCTGAGTCAAGATTGTGGGGGAGTCTGGCCTTAATAAAAGTGTGTTGGTATAAGGACTAATGTAAGAAAAGTGACTGTTTTTAGAAATACTCTTCTGAATGTGGTGGGCAGGATGGATTAGACTAAGAAAGCTGTAAATGCTAGGACAATGCCTAAGAAGCTGAAGCAGGTGTGAAATGATAAAAATCTGATTGGAGTTGAGGGTGGGCACTGGGAATGTTAAGAATAGATAGTTATTTGCTATTGCAAAAGAACAGGTAGGATTTGGCTTCTTGATTTGAGGAAGCACAGGAGAGAGAGGAGTTAAAACTTGATGTTTTAGGCCTGGGTAATTGAAAAACAGATAACACTAACAAATGGGAATGTCAGGATGTACAGTTGCTTTCTGGAAAAGGTGATGAGTTCAATTTTAAGCTTGTTGAATTTGAAGTAATGTTCAGGAAATAAGCTGGATGAAAGGAAATATTAAAACTGGTAATACAGACTTGGTGATCAGTTGAATAGAAGAGATAGTTGAAAAATGTGAGTACACAGATCCTTTAAGGGAGAGAACTCACAATGAAAGGCAAACTTGAGAGTTGTACTTAGATCCGAAGTAACAGAAACATAATGCAAATGTGCTTGGCATTTATTTATTAGATGCTCAATAATAAAATCTTTAAAGAGACTGTAGTTAAGAAATGTGGCAGCAAATGCTAAAAAATAGTTGGGGTGGGGAGGCTTTTTTTTTTTTCCAACTGTAGAAGACATTATATTTGAAGGCTACCATAAATGGTACTCGTAAGAATCTATTAATTATAATCAAGGCAGTGCTATACTGAGAAATTTAGAAAAGACAAATTTACTCTTTTCAGTTGCAAAGTAATTTTCCCTCAGCAGGAAGATAAGGAAGTGTACGAGCACTGAGTAATACGTGGAATTACTGAATCACTATATTGCACACCTGAAACTAATATAACACTGTGTCAAACTACACTGGAATTAAAATAAAATACAAATAAAAGAAGATAAGTAAGTGGAATATCAGCCATAACAATAATCATAATTACCATTGAGTGCTCTATGTCACCATGCTAAGCACTTTACACAGTTTCTTTTAATTCTCTCAATAATTCTATAAGCAAAAAGGAGAACTTTATAAAAGTTAAACAACTTGCCCACGGTCATACAACTATTGAGCAGAAAAGCTGGATTTCATTTCCAGATCTAACTGCAGGTTGAAAGCCAGGCTTTAGAGTTGTATGACCCTGGATTTGACTTCAGCTCAGATACTTATTAGTTATGTGACACACTGCTCATTCATCTCATAAATATTCAAAGCTTACCCTGTAGTAGGTGCTTTGCTAGTCACTGTGACTACATAATGCCCTCAAAGTGCTCACTGTTCAGTAAAGAAAGCAGTAAGAAAACAGGAATCACTGTGTGGGGTGTCAGCAATACTATAAAAACCAGGGGAGTAAGGAGAACATGAGAGGGCATGTGTTTTGTAAAAACCTTCGTAGTTTATACTAACAGCTGGACTACACCTCTTGATGAATAAAATTGAATTTACTTCTGGCTCACCATTCAGTGTCTTTGTGACTGTGGGCAGGTTATTAATTTCTCTATTCCTCAGTTTCCCCATATTTAAAATGGAGATATTAATAATACCTATCTTCTGAGTTTGTGTCAGACTAAATAAGTTAATGAACATAAAGAGCTCAACAATACCTGGTACATATTAAGGGCTCAGTAAAAGGGTTTACTACACTACTGGTATGGCAATATATAAAGGGCATCATATGTGGAGAGTTTCCTGTTAAGCTATTTCGAGAACTCTGGCTGCCACATCACTGTGTTTGCACTTCTATTTTCAAGAATGACAGAAAGAACAATGGCATGCAATGTTCTAATAGTAATGTGTATCACATTAAGAGAAAGGGATGATACAATTCATTATCTTGAAAATCAAGCCAAACTCTAGGCTGTCTTTGAGAGTCTAGACATTTTTGCTTTTGTAATTTATTTATAATTAACTTAAGGAAAGATGATGAAAATGTACATGCTAAACTGATGATTTTACTATAGGCCCTGTCCCCTTTGCAAAAGTAAAATGTCTTTTACTGATAATACACAGATCAGAAGAGTTGAAAGATAGGCCTGTTTTCTTGGAAATAGGAAGATAAGGGATCCAATATAACTCTTGAAACTTAAATCTTTCATTCAATTCAATAAAGTTTTTCCCATAAGGAAATAGATGAAAACATTGTTTCCTTACATCTAAGTGAAGAAATGTTTAAAATACCACAAAATAAAATAAAATAAAATACCACAAAATATTATATACTTTCAGCTATGAGTAAAGTCTGAGGATCTTATGTATTACATGGTGACTATAGTTAACACTATATAGTATAACTGAAATTTGCTAGAATAGAAATTAAATGTTTTTACAAAAAAAATACACACACACACACACATATATGTAGGTGATGGATGTGTTAATTAACTAATGGGAGTAATCCTTTCACAACATATAGGTATATCAAATATTCAGGATGTACACTTTAAATGTCTTACAATTTTATTTGGTAATTATACTTCAATGAAGCTGAAAAAACAAAAGAACAAAATAATTTTCCCCAATCTTACAAAAAACCTTACACATCTGTAAATAACTAATCAAAATACAGCACAATTAAACCAATTGTCTGTTTTTGAATCATCATAGAAATATTATATGAAGAGGAAGTACACAGAAAATTAAAATTTATTATAGAATGACATAAATGTTAAGTTTAATTTTAGGAAGAATAATGGTGTACATTAGAGTCATCTAGAAATCGTATTAAAAATGTAGATTCCTAACCCCATCCACAGATAACCTGACTCATTAATTTGAGTATAGCAATAAATTTGTGCTTTTAACAAGCGTGTCAGGTGGTTTTCATGTAGGTGGCCTGCAGACCACACATTGAGGCAAAAATAGGAAAAATTTTCAGAAATAAGGAAGATGCCAAAAAAACCAGATCCAGATTACCAGCATCAAATAGACTTAAGGACCCTAATTATTTTTACCCCTCTACTTCTATTCCCCGCCCCCAAAAAAATCTGTTTCACAAAACAGAACATTCCTGAAAGTAAACAATATAAATTTTTCTAAAATTAATAAATGTAGTGGCTCATAGATCAGGGCCCAAAAAAGTAGCCTTCTTCATATGGCTTCAAATGGTTTTTTTCAAAAAATTTATTAATTTGGCTAGGAACTATAGTAGATGCTTTCACTTATATTAATAGTCCCAAGAATCCTGTGACAGTCTCAGGGCGGCGATTAGGATGCTGCCTAGCAAACACCTAGCAAGCAACGGTGCTTGCTTTTGACTTCAGGTAACAGAAACCCACTTTAAAGTGGTTTAAACCAAAAGAAAAGGTACAGAGTAGCAGAAATCCAGAGGTATCGTAGATTTCAGGGTTGGTTGAGCCAGTATTTGAAGAATTTCATGTAGGACTGAGGTTTTTGTCCATCTCTGCTTTGCCATTTACAGTGCCAATTTCACCCAAAGCTGGTTTTCCACTTGGTTATAGGATAACTGCTGGTTGTGACAAAGGTTTCATCCTCTCATTCACATCCAAGAGGAGGGTTTCTGGTTTTCCACAGCTCTTCCAGAAAATAGCAAGGGCCTCACATTAAATTAAATTAGGCCCAAATTAAATCACTGTGCTAATAAAATGAGATTACTCTATTTGGTTCAGACTAGTGTTTTTGTTAATCTAAGGAGTCTTTTTAGACGTTCTCTTCCTAAATACTCCTCCCCATGAAATTTTAATGCCATAGATATTACTGTATGTTTATACACTTTATGCTTTATGCATAAAAAAGAGTAAGTTTATTACCCTACCCCCAGAATGCATGGCCTAGACTAATTCAGGATCACCCTTGGAGCTGTGGATTGGGTCAGCTTTCCTTGAAGCACATGTCCATGTGAGGGAGGCATGGATGTGGGTTCTGTTAGGATGGAGAAAGTAGTAAGGAATGAGTAAATTCTAGGTAAGCAAGCAACAGTGGCCACTATTCAAGCTGAGACACAGAACAAGTAATTTTTCTTTCAAGTACTGGTAAGTGGTAAAATCAATTGACCAGGCTTTCTGATTTGAACTGCAGTAATCTATCCACTAGAATTCAGTTGTTCATTTTTAGTTTACCTTGGAGGTAACTTCAAAAATGGAGAGGATCTTGGGCATTAGAGTCAGACAGTCATGGGTTCAGTTATTGGTTTTGTACTTACTGGTTGTGTAAACAAGTCACTTGAGCTCTGTGAACTACATTTAATTCCTCTCTAAGAGAGATTATAATTTCTTTATTATCAGGCTGTTAGGAGAATTAAACAAGCTGAACATGTAAAGCAACAAGAATAATGCCTTTGTAAATGTTAGTTCCTTTCCAGTTTTTGTTTTCTGAATTTTTCAGTTTTGTTTCTGAATTTTAAGTGAAGGCTTAGGAATTCATGGTCTAAGACATATATATTACTAGAACTTGCAAAACTATTAATTTAAAATTCATCTCCTATTCCCTTTCAAAAGTTGTTTATTTTTTGCAGAATGGATACTGTAGTTAGCATACTTTAGGAACTGTCACATCTGCAAGCCTTATTTGGATATGGTGGCAACTCTACATGTAAGCTCTGTAAAGACTGAAGGAAAAGCATATTTTAAATGGTTTATGATGTGTGCTGTTTGCAGAAAAGTCGAACGTTCAGTATAAAGAAAATTTATGTTGCTCTCAGTTATATGGTTATGACCTGGTCTGCCATTTATGAAAATTAAAAGTAAGATGTTTATGAATGTTCATCAATTCTTTATTTTCTAGGACAAATCTATCAGCACAAGCTTACCTGTCCTAGACTTAATAGATGCCATCGCACCAAATGCAGTTCGTCAAGAAATGATCAAGAGAGAAGACTTATCTGAAGAGGACAAGCTAAACAATGCTAAGTAAGCCTTTTATGGTTGGTTGGTTGGCTTGTGTGTTTGTTTATTTAGTTAGTTATTAGTTTGAGAGAGGGGGGCGGGTAGAGGGACAGGGGCCAAGGGAGAGAGAGAATCCCAAGCAGGCTTTGCGCTCATCATGGACCCTGATGTTGGGGCTCAATCCCATGATCCTGGGATTGTGACCTGAGCCGAAATCAAGATTTGGGCACTGATCCAACTGATCCACCCAGGCGCCCTGCCTTTTATGGTTTAACACAGTGGCTCTTTAATTTCTTAAATCCTTACACTTAAGGTTACTATGTCTTTATAACATTTTTAAGTACAACTTAAATGGGGAATATGATTAAAGACTTTCAAAATTAACTTTCTTGTCGGGGCGCCTGGGTGGCGCAGTCGGTTAAGCGTCCGACTTCAGCCGGGTCACGATCTCGCGGTCCGTGAGTTCGAGCCCTGCGTCAGGCTCTGGGCTGATGGCTCAGAGCCTGGAGCCTGTTTCCGATTCTGTGTCTCCCTCTCTCTGCCCCTCCCCCGTTCATGCTCTGTCTCTCTCTGTCCCAAAAATAAATAAAAACATTGAAAAAAAAATTTTTTTTATAAAATAAAAAAAAAATTAACTTTCTTGTAAAGTTAATCTTATCAAAATATTTCATTCTTTTATTAACATATATTAAGTGAGAACATAGTAGATAACAAATACTAAGATATTTTTCTTGTCGTTTGAAGATACGCCATTTCAGTTGCTCGAAAGATTGGTGCCCGGATATATGCCTTACCTGATGACCTCGTAGAAGTGAAACCAAAGATGGTTATGACTGTGTTTGCATGCTTAATGGGAAAAGGACTGAATAGAATAAAATAATGAGAAACATTTAATATGATTTTCTGCCACATTAAACACACTGAATGCCTCACAGTTTACAGATTTCTGAAATGTAGTGGGTATAAAACCAGAGATTATTTGTATGCTTAAAATAGTTGTATAATTCATTAATGAATTAAATATCTTGTTTCTACTGGTTAGAATCTGTCAACCTTTTTGGATAACACAGTTAATTTACCAGTAGATACTGATATGTTCATTATCAAGTCGATATTTCATAATTAAATTATTTTCATTTCCTGAAAGTCTTATTAAAAGCAAGACTAATTCATTGTTTTTCATGGTTCAAAAAGATCAATACAAAAATTTTTTGCAGGTCTGCTGTGTTTTGATTTGTATGTGGATGTGTGTGTGTGTGTGTGTGTTAATTTTGATCATAAATGTATTCAAAGTCATAATCCAGTTTATTTTATTTTTTCCTCCAACTATATGAACCTTAACTTTTCTGTAAATTTCTATATGGTCTCAAATTTTTAAGTGACAAGTATTGTTCATTAACATTAAACTTTTTTATATATGAGAACTAACTCTTGAAGAAACCCCAAAGTACATTCTCTTGTATAAGTAGCAGGAGCTTTTTACTTAAAACTTAATTTTAATTGTAGATACTACATATGCTAGTTTGGTAATAGAACTTTAACTATGACATGCAGCATATATGTTGGTAGATTGTTATTACAGAAAGATCTGTGTACATATGTATTTTTTGCATCTGAATTACCCAGGTTTTCTTAAATGGTATATAAAACTAGTCAGTCAGCCAACCATTAAGTGTTTATTGTAGTCCCACGATGTGTGTAACACTTGTCATTATGTAGATATCTGGTACATGAAGATTTCTTTTAGAAATATTCATTTTGGATGTGCATATAGTTATTTTCCAACTGACTTCTTCCACATATTTATAGCAAAAAATTGGCTAGAACATCTCAAGACATGTTGACACTATACTGTTAGCTTCATATTACACATGTTAATTTTGATCTATAGGAAGCCCTAATTTAGAATATGCCCACTGAATATCTTTAGTAGAAAGTAACACAAAGCTAATATTGAACATAGAGTATTTTCAAATGTTTTTTCCACAGCCTCCTACAAATTGGCAGTGTTTGGTTACTGCTTGTGTTACTTGGGAACAACTAACCTTCAGACCTATTTTTGTGTGAATTTTTATCAGTAGACAGATTCTGCTGCTAAAAATTGAATTCAGAAATCTATTTTCTCCATCTTCCACTGTTAGTGTAAGTGAGCAATACTGCTTTGCAACAGAAATGCTGTCACTTTGTCTCAGTGTGAATGAGTAGTCTAAATCCATCTTCTACCATTGAAAACCATACATGTTGGTAAGAGTGAGACTACTCATGGGTTTAGAATAGAATTTTTTAAATGAAATCAACAAGTGGAACTTTGAAATATATTCTTCTACAAAAGAGATTCCCTTTCCTTTTATATTTTAGTGATTGTTTTCTTACATGAAGATTAAGATATGTTCTTGCTCTAAGAAATTAATTAATGTTTTCCCTTTTGATTTTTTTCACCATATTTACTAAGTTATCTGATTTACATGAAATTTGGCACTTTAGAGTGTTCTTTTTCTCCTAAAATAATAAAAATTCTGTGTATGTACAAATGTGTCAGTGTTTGTTTCATTTAAAGAATATACAACCGGGGCGCCTGGGTGGCGCAGTCGGTTAAGCGTCCGACTTCAGCCAGGTCACGATCTCGCGGTCCGTGAGTTCAAGCCCCGCGTCGGGCTCTGGGCTGATGGCTCAGAGCCTGGAGCCTGTGTCTGATTCTGTGTCTCCCTCTCTCTCTGCCCCTCCCCCGCTCATGCTCTGTCTCTCTCTGTCCCAAAAATAAATAAACGTTGAAAAAAAATTTTTTTAAAAATAAAGAATATACAACCTTGAAAATTAATCTATCATAAGTTTATTTTCAAGAAAAGAAAATAACTTTTTTTAATTAGTAAAATAAAATTTGTATTAGATTTTTTTGGGGGAATGAAGGTGGTTCTCTGTTTTGTTTTTGGTTTTCGTTTTTTTTTTACCAAATCATACTCCCTTCTGGTTCTTTAATATGAAGTTTTTTAGTAAAGAAAACTGCATTATTACTACAATTTAGTTTGTACTGAAATAATTTGAGGTAACCAGTTCATTAATATACATTTGTTATGAATCAGGTAAAATGCTAGAAATATGGGGATTCCGCTGAGAAAAATATAGACAGTTTCCTGACTTCATAAATCTTGCATCCGAGTGGAGAGAGATAATAAATAGGAATTTTAGGTAGAGATAAAATGCAGTAGGGGAAATAAAATAGTAATGTGATAGAGACTGACTTGGGAACAGGGGTGAAGACTTTTAGTTTGGATGCTCAGGAATGGTCTCTGTAAGGATGTGATATTCAGACTGAAATAGGAATGAGGAGGAGATAGGTGATACATGTTCAGCAGAGGGAACAAAATACAAAGGCTCTGAGCCAGGAAAAGTCGTAGGCATTTAAGGAAAAGAAATAGGTAAATATGGCCTAAGAGGAGTGAGGGAGAGGCACAGAGTTTGGAGACGTAGATAGGATCTGTCCTACTTTTAAGACCAGCTCTGAATCTGGATTTTTCTCTTCTCCAACTGAAGTTGTTGGCTCTTCTTTTGTACCTGCAGGTTGTTGAATTGCTGTAAGTAATGTGTTGCTTGTAAATCTTACACGCCATTGTTCCCCATAACTCTGTCATTGATCTTACTATCACCAATGCACAATAAACTCATCATATAGGGGGATGTTAAAATACTCCAATTTATGCTGCATAAAATATGTACCAGTGAGGCAAGAGAGAAAAATATGCTGCATCTGAGATGATTCAAAAAGTTTTCTGAAGAACAGAATGCATTTGCAATACTGGCTTACTTTGAAAAAGGAAAAATCCTCGAATACTTTGCCTCCTAGGATTATCTATGAACATAGGGTGGAATTCCTCTGAATCTAAGAAACTAATCCAGCTGCTGTGAGAGTTCTTATGGATGAGAAATCACAAACCCAGAAGCTTGAAAAGACCAGATTAAAATTTTTTTATACTTTTGAACCATCTGAATTTTTACCCTCCAACACTCTGGAACTTTTGGATGGATCAGGGTTAGAGTTGTTCTGCTACTGAGTAAAAATTTTACTAGACTATGAAGACTGTAACTACATATATAAACAAAATGTGTAAGTAAGCACATATATATAAACCCACATATGTATTTGTGTTCAGTGGCCACAAATTAACACTGAAAATTTTTGATATTCCACCAAATATACAAACTTGGAAACGGTATAGAATGAGGGAGATTTGTGATAGAGATAAGCTAAAATGATTCAATAGATAATCGGCCATTTTGGAGTAAACACATGACAATGTTTGGAAAGGTGGCCAATCTTGTCATCTACCTAGGGCCTCTTAGAGAAGATCTAAATAAGACTTTGAATGGTAACAAAGATTTATATTTAGAAAATCTGGTAGTGTTGGCAAGAACAGATATAGAGCAAATCAACCTGAATAGAATAGGAAGTACTTCCCTCAAATATAAGATATTCTGAAGTAAATTTATGTATTGGCTTTAAAAACCTAAAGCACCAAGGGCACAATTTTGATTTTTGTATAGTTGTTGTGAGAAGCAATAAGAATTATTCAAGAGATATAATTTGTAGTTTTACCCCCTAGTTTTAAAGGTGAAAAAATCTACTTTTTCAAAGCAGTTTAAGACGAATTTTTAATGTTTATTTTTGAGAGACACAGAGGGAGAGAGAGAGAGAGATGGGGGGCGGGGAGTAGAACGAGTGGGGGAGGGACACAGAGAGAGAGAGAGAGAAAGGGAGACATAGAATCCGAAGCAGGCTGGGCGCTGTCAGCCCAAAGCCAGACTTGGGGCTCAAACCCACCAACAGTGAGATCATGATCTCATGACCTAAGCGGAAGTCAGACGCTCAACGATTAACAGACAGCTACCCAGGCGCCCCCCCCCCCGCCCCCAGCCTCGAATCTGCTTTAAATAAGTTTGCTTTAAAAATAATTATTCAGGTAGGTAGTACTTCAGTTAGCGCTTCAGTCAGCTTTTGCTCAACACACATTTATAAAATCAAATTTATAAATGTGAAGACAAACCTCTGGAAGGACTGTAATTAGAGTAGATCCTAAAAATATGCTTATCCAATGGTTACGTGTTGGTACACGTGAATTACATGTGAATAAAGGTATACCATCAGGAATCTTATGCCAATTTTATATCACAGACAAGTTGTTAAAAAATAGTCTAGAAATGAGTATAGCTAGCCCAAACACACAGACAAGGTCAAGTCCGGTGGCGTGGCCAGGCAGAGGACCCAAACACGAAATATTCAGACAATTCCATAGGCGGGGTCGACTAAACGTTAAGTCGTCAGAGGCTCAATTAACCATACCCATGCGTATTTATGTGCAGCAGGAGACGGTAAATTACCTCAAATCAGAAACCCAGGTGTGGGGAGGACGCACTGGGGTCTTCGCCTTTTCCTTAGCAATTAGAAGCCTTCAGAGGCCGCAGCTGACAGACGAGGAACGGGGGGCGGGACGCAATAGACCCCGCCCCCACAACAGGCCCTGCCCACCACCGAAACGACCCCGTAGTCGTCGCTATAGCGGAGCGGAAGATGACGTGAGGAGAGTCGCGAACATCTCCAGGCGCAGCTGGGCTGGCGGTTCCCACATCCCGGGAGCCCGACGTGCGCAGAATCGCTCTAGGAGCTCCTTTCCCACAGATCTCTCATCCTCCTCCCGGGCCGGGCCGCCCACCGCGCGGCCCCTGCGGCTCCTGGCACGGCCCCGCGCTCGGCTGCCGCCCTGGCGCGCGCCACTCTGTCGTCCCCGGAGGGGCGCGGACCGGCTCGGCCCGGGCGCCGGAGGCTGGGGAGGGGGCGCTGGCCCCGGGGCCGCGCATGCGCCGCCACCAATCTGGGGCTGTCGGTGGAGGGCGAGTGCTGGTTTCGAGGGGAGGCGACGCCCTTTGGGGCCAACGGGCCGCGCGCTGAGGCGGCTGTGGGAACGACTCATCCCTTTTCCAGCCCTGGGGCGGGGCTGGGGTCGGGGTCGGGGCTGGTGGGGGCCCCGCCTCCGTCTCCTGGCCTGCCCCCTTCATGGGCCGCGATGATGGCGGCCCTATACCCGAGCACGGACCTCTCGGGCGCTTCCTCCTCCTCCCTACCTTCCTCCCCATCCTCCTCTTCGTCGCCGAACGAAGTGATGGCGCTGAAGGATGTGCGGGAGGTGAAGGAGGAGAACACCCTGAATGAGAAGCTTTTCTTGCTGGCGTGCGACAAGGGTGAGAGCTAGGCCCCTTTCTCCACTTCAGGGCGCCCCTGCCCTGCACACCCTTCGCCCTCTCCCCAGCCTCACTTTGGGGCACTCTTTCCTCACGCGCCGAGCGTCTGTACCCGCCGCGTCCGTTGTCTCGCCCGGGCCGCCCGGCGCCGCCTCTGAGAGTGGAGCTGGCGGGCGGGAGCAGCCGGCGAGCAGCCCTCCGAGCGCCGCACCTGGGGCGGCGGTTCTGGCCGTGGCCTCCCTTTGTGGGGTTCCGTATTTAGGTAGCGATGTGGGAACCCAGACCCTCGGGTTTTAGCCCCCGCCTCTGCTACTAACCCCCTGAATGACTTGGTCTCCCTCTCGGGGCTTCTGTTCTTTCTCTCTGGAAGCCCAGAGGGTTTGTCTAGTTTTGGATCTCCTAGTCCGAAAATTCCATGACCTTGTTTAAGGTTCCTCGTGTTTATGGGCTCTCAGCTATACTTGTATTATTTAGCTTCAGCCACCCAGTGCCTTGGTGTTCATTGACTGTTGAATGGCATTCGGTATGTCAATATCCTAGGGGGAGATAAAGACAGGCGTGGAGAAATTATGCCTTAGTGCCAAACTTTTTTTTTAATTTACTGTACTTTGTTCGTGCTTTTCATTGGAGAAGAAAGTTTATTGCTCCTGAGTCGTCTTCGGGGAAAAAATGGTAGTGCAAAACAATTACAGGGCAAAAATGTGAAATATGTTTAATGAGTTTTCTTTAAAAAGAAAATAAAAACCTAGAAATCAATTGTTTTTACGGCCATAATAAAATCTCTTCATTTTAACATGCTTTCTGTTGGTACGTATAATAATAGGAATGGGAAATTGCCCTAAGACAGCTTTTATTTCCTACATGTAAGAAAGAGCTGTGATTTTTCTCTTTCTAAATTTATTAAGTTGCCTTACAATGGCCATGCTCACTTAGGCACACTGTTTAGGATCATGCACACTTCCAAAACATAAACCCAAAGAGCAGCTTACACTGTGAAAGGATTAACTACAGAGGATTTTTTTTTGTCTGTGTGTATGAGCGAGTTTTTAATAAATCACAGCCTCTCTAACCTCTTACCACTTTTGAAATAGGATTTTATTTACACAACTTTTTGAAAACACATTGACATGTAAACAAAGTCTACCTATGTGTGTTGTCAGACACTTTTACGTTCTTATGTAATAGTATTAAATTAGGAAAGCCTTTGTTAAAGTCCACCATGGACACAGCTTTGAATAGTCTTGGAAATGTAAAGAAACATAGGATATATGTTTATAACCTCACAAAAGTTATTGTCGATTATGTAAAGTTACTTAGTATTACTGAAGTGGGTTATCTGAGTTCTCTTCCCTCAAGGATTCTCCCAGAGGGGAAGGGACAAGATTGTGTTATACTAGAATGAGTAAGTGGCTGCTGCATCTACCCCAGCTTACTGAGCTGTGGTTATTTTAAAGCAAGCAAAGTATGTCAAGAAAGGGCATTTAATGTTGCTGTCAAATTGAGGACAGAGGAATGCCATATGTGGTTGGAGTAAGTACTTATATGTATATTTAGAATTATTGCATGGTATACCTCAAATTAAAGTTTTAATATGTAATAGTTTTGAAGCCTATCTAGTAGTGTCCGTTGAAATAGCTTCCAATTCTTTGTCAGTTTCCCATTTTGTAAAATCATTAAGATTCTTGGGAGAGGTTTGGATTTTTGGGGCTGGGGTGAAAAGTAAATAAGCATGCTTTTTTTTCCCCCCTCTATAATAGAGACAAAAAAGTTTTTTTTTTGCTTATCCCAAGCAGGCTCCATGCTATCAGCACAGAGCCCGATGCCAGGCTTGATCCCAGGAACTGTGAGACATGACCTGAGCTAAAATCAAGAGTCTGCTGCTTAACCAACTGAGCCGCCCAGGCACTCCTAGAATTTTTTTAAATGAGTGCAATTAAATAGGTATTTTCTGTTTCAGGTGTGTTAAATTCTTGGCTTAGATTTGGAAAAAATGGCTTAAATTACATATATTTATGGTATGTTTACATTGGAAAAATAAATTGGAGTTACAGCAGTGCTTTTTTGTTTACATGTTTGTATTCACTAATAGTGTTAAACTTTTAGTGTACCTGAACCAAATCTAAAAGTGAGAAGTTTGCTGAAGTAGGTATAGCTTCCACTGTTGGAGCTTTCACCAAATCAAATGGCAAACATTTACTAAAACAGCCATTAGGGTAGATTGCATATACTTTTCAAAGGTGATTTCATTTCATCCTGACAACCCCATTAGCCAAATCTCTTGTTATACCTATTTTACAAATGAGGAAAATGAGGCTTAGCAATGTTTTAAAATCACTTTGCCCAAGGTTACATTAGCTAGGAAATGGTAGAATTGAGATCTATATTGAGCCTCCGCTCTTAGCCACTGTGTTACATTAATCTAGTTGTAGCTGAATGAATGAAAGTAATTCGTATTAGAGAAGACATCTAAATTTGGACTTGTTAGTTAATGATTAAACTTGATCTCCTATGAATGTTTCATAAACCTTGTTTCTGTGGGTTCTGTTTATCCAATAAAAGTAAAAAGCTGTAATAGCACTAGAACAGATCCATTCTAGAATATCTATATTTATCTTCCTTTTCATTTAGCAATCCTACTCTACATGTACAAAATGATTATAATATATTCCACTTAGGGAGAATTCCTAAAAGATAAAGTGGTCATTGTGTATGTTAGTGGGTGGGTGGCTTTTTGAAAGGTCTGTACAGATTGAAGAGCAAAGAAAAAACGTAGGAAAGAAAAAGATTTTATGTTTGATTTTATAGTTTGTATAGCTGGCTTTTATGTAAATGAGCTCAATAGATACAGGCAAGTGCTGATCAGGTAGTGGCTACTTAATAGTGGCTGTTATTTATCTTGAAAGTAGGTCAGAAGCATGTATCATTGGTTCTTTGTGTAAAATTTAGAAGAAAAAGTCAAAGTTCCTGTACCAGTGACATCAAGTTAAGTCTGTTCTCACCCTCCCCCCCCCCCCACCCCGTCCCTAGTAAAATTCTCAGCAAGTACACTCATATTCTTTATAGACAGAATGCTGCAACTCAGGTGAAAGTTAATTGAAACAAGGGCTGGCTATTTTATGAAATATTAAGCAAGATTCTTATCACCTGCCCCTTTCCTCTCTGAGAGTTAATGTGATAATGAGCCACTTTGATTTGTGGAGCCTGTGGTTTACTCAGGCCTGCTGGCTGGAGAAAGGGTTAATTTGTTTAGGCTCTTTTAACGCAACTGGAGAGGATGGTAGCTTTTAGTATGCATTCATGAGCTAAAGCATGTATTAACCCTTTAATGTGCTGACGATCAGTTCTTGTGCAGAAAAATGGAGTGATGAAAAGACCTTAGTCTGGATTCATTCCCTGTCAGCTTCCCATGAAGGGTATTTTCAGGAAATTCTATGTGCAATTAATGAGTCAGGATGCCCTTCTTGAAATTTCAGTATGGGGGCACAGGAGGGATGGAGAGAGCTGTCCTTGGGCTCAATCTAAAGTCTTGGGTCACCTTTGTGATAGGATTTTGCTGCATTGTGTGGGAGGGCGCCTTGATGACTGAATGCTTACATGAACTTTGCATCCGTTTGGGCTAAGCATGCTTTTAAGATGGGTGACATTTTTGGGAGAAGTAATACCAAGCTGCCGTATTAATAACACCTTAATATATTTAATGGGGCTTTTTTTTTTTAGCTATTTGATGTAAAATAAATTTTATATAAACTCATAAAGGATATAAACTAAAGTTTTATTCAACTTGCAGCATCACTGTGAATTGGGTCTCAAGTCATGTACCAGACTCTCATTACAAAGTAAACATTGCTTCTAATTGTTTTTCTAATGGATTCAAGAATATACTGTTAATAATTCTTAATTTATCAACTCACTATTAAAAAATGTATCACCTTCTAGGCTGTATAATTTTTTCCTATAGCAGATTGAATCTTTTTTGCCGGATGATATTCATTATCATTAATAGTCTTCATTAACAGTCATAAATGACTAAGAAATTACAGTAATTTCTTTTTTAAAAATATTCAAACATACCATATATATGAGTATCTTTAATTTTGAAGGTTTCACTTATAACAATATGATTACAACTCATGGGGGGCATCTATGATAAATAGTGGGGTTTGCACATTTGGGTAAAACTACATTTTTTTAATAAGTTTATTTTTAGAGAGAAAGAGAAAGAGAGTGCATGTGCACGTGCCTGAGCGGTAGAGGGGCAGAGAGAGGGAGAGAGAATCCCAAGCAGGCTCTTCACTGTCAGCATAGAGCCCGACTTGTGGCTCGAGCCCACGAACCATGACCATGAGATCATGACCTGAGCAGAAGTTGGATGCTTAACTGAATGAGCCACCCAGGTGCTTCTGGGGAAAACTACATTTTTAAGTCATCTCCACTGTAAAAGTCTTGTGGGTATTTTATTTTTTTAAGATCTGGTTGAAGCTAATTTGAAGTTTGCTATAGAGTTAACATTTTAATCAGTGTTGTCACTATTTGTATTTATAGATCCAGTAACTGAATTTGATCACGTCTTTGTATTTTTTTACTTCGTCATTTTTTTCCTTTTAATAAAATCTTTTAAGTGTTTTCAGTTAATAGTTCAATTTCAATGCTGCTGTTGAGGGGTGCCTGGATGGCTCATTCGGTTGAGTGTCCAGCTTCGGCTCAGGTCATGATCTCACACTTCGTGAATTCGAGCCCCACATCAGGCTCTGTGCTGACAGCTCAGAGCCTGGAGCCTGCTTCAGATTCTGTGTCTCCCTCTCTCTCTGCTTCTCCCCTGCTCACACGGTGTCTCATTCTCTCAAAAATAAATAAAGATTAAAAAAAAAATTCAAAAGAATGCTGTGGTTGACACACTCAAAAAGTTTGTTACAGAAACTTGGTTTCAATAGCTTTACAATTTTTTTTTGACTGATAAATTCTCCCATACTTCACAACTAACTGAAAATTTGGATTCTATA